CAGGGCTTCTTCTCCCATCCACGCCCCAGCCTGGCTGACCTCACCTGGCCGCCCTCCTTCATGTCCGTCTCCTGCAAACACACAGCTGGCTAAGCGACCACCACCGGGCAACCCCGGCAATCCCACAGCCTGAATCTGTTCAGCAGCCGATTTTGCCCGGACCACCTCTTCCCTGGTTTTCCCTGTGCCAACCTCAGGACCCTCCTGGGCCCATTCCTTCCTCCTCACCTCCCTCCTCCCATCCGTCACCTGCAGGGCCACCTCCAAAGTCACCCCTGTCACCACCTCACCCCTCACTCTGCCACCATCTCTTGGGCCCGAGAGGTACCCTGCTCCCCTGTGTCCTCCTCTGGTCCATCTTCCAGATGGCGTCAGAATGACCATTGACAAGTATGAATCAGACTGTGTCTCTCCACGGCCTACAGCCCCCCAGAGTCCCCCCTTTCTTTACCAAGACCTACCTGGTATGGCCCTGCGACCTCCCCACCGCGTCTCCTTTCTCACTCACTCTCTCCACTTGAACCCCTCAGGCTCTTCATGCCCCAGGGCCTTTGCACGCACTGTACGTTCTGCCTGGAATCCTCTGCCCTTTCCCTGAGCCCTGCCCGACCCCCACTCTCTACAGGGCTACCCTTGTTTGGGGCTCTCATCTCCTCAGGCAGGATGTCCCTGACTTTTGAATCTAAACTAACCTGCACCCCAACCCTCGTTGCAGCACCCTACTTAGTTTTGCTCATAATGCCCTGGCCTTCGCCAGCTCAGAGTCATCTCGGGGATCCCTGTGGCCCACGGACCCCACTGGAAGGCCACTGCCCTGCAGGATAAAGCACCCCTGCCTGGAGCGACAATCGGGGCCCTCACAGCACAGCCCAGACTCACATCTCAGCACTTATTCCACCAGCTAGCAGGCTTCTCTGTGCACCGTATCTTTGCACAAGCCGCGCCAAGCTGGGAACGCCCTTCCTCTACCCTGCCTAACTACCCAGCCTTAACAAGCCAGCCTGCACACCACTCCCTGCCTCTCCATCCTCTGTGGTCCCGCCAGCATCCACCTCCGTCCCGGGCAGAACAAACAGCCCCTCGTCCAGCCTCATTCACAGCAGCACTTGGTACATATACAACATCACTGCCAGGGACATGCCAGCCTCAGACAGCAGAGGGACAGGGTCTCAGGGGCCAAGAACGGTTCGCAGTCATTTCAGGGTCCCCAGTGCCCGGCACAGACCTAGTACTTGATAAACCCTGGGGCTGGGTGGAGCACACCCCAGGCCCGTGGTGTATACCATCTCATGCAAAGCTCACATGGACAACATGAAATCGGTCAATTACCTTGATCTCCCAGATGTATAAATAGCGATCTAAGGGTTTAAGATACACAGCCCCATGGCACAGACTTAGGAAAAGGAGGGAGAAGAACTTTACACGCACACACATCACCTCCACACAGCAGTTTCTACCGAGTCTCAGAGGTGAGCCTGGGCGTGTCTGACCCATCACCGTGAGCACTGGTGTTCAGCCAGGGCACCCCTCCCTGCCTGGGGGACGTAGCCAAGTCACTGACCCTCAAGCCTCTGTGCCCTTGCCGGTGAAATGGGCAAATCACCCCTCCCGCCCGCATTTCACAAAGTGGGGAGGGGAGAAGCCAGTGTCGGGCAAAGGACAGGAGCTCAGTAGGCAGTACCGCCCCACCCCTGGCACAAAAAGGTGTTTGGTGACTACTCTTCAGTTAATTACTTAATTACAGAGGGACAGGCTGATAAAACGATGGACAGGACGGTAATCCCTCCAGAAGAGGCAGGAGCGGCGTCCAGCAACCCCTCCCTGCTCTGCTCTGGGTTTTCATGGACTCCCCCATTTCTGCTCACTTTGCCTGCACTCGGCCAGAGGGAGCATGGCCTTCCTTGCCTGCCGGTTAGGCACGAGCACCGTGGCCAGTGAGGTGAAGGCCGCCTCCCACTGTGACAGCTGCAGGCTGGCTGGCAGGCTCTCACCAGCCTCGTGGGTGACCCGGGCCGGGATCAGCCTGGCTCCCAGATGCATCCCCACAGGCTGCCCCTCAGCCAGGACACCAGGCCCCACCAGCCAGACAGCACGACCTTGACTCTGGCAGGAGTCCCACCTCTGACACCCCTGAGGAGCGGAGGGAGGATAAATCCACTTTGGAAGATGATCTACCATCATCCAGGAAAGCGGAGACACGCAAACCCGATGACGTGGTGATTTCACCCCCAGGTCCATGCCCAGGAGAAACGGGCACCCGTGGTCTCCACCTGGGGACCCACAAGCAGTAGCTCCAAACTGGAAATAACCGGAGCGCCCAAGGACAGGAAAAGGTGGCCACTAGGACATGACCAGGCCGTGCAAATGGGCGCGCGGTAACCACACGGCGAATCACGGGGACACGGCCCCAGGGGAGAAGCAGTCACAGAAGGACACTGTGCACTGCCTTTCATGTGAAGTTCAAACCCAGAGAAAAGCAAAACACCTGTTGAGGTGGTAAGAACTCGTGCTCACGGAAGCCAGGACAGTGGTAACCAGGGAGGAGGTCAGGGCAGCCATGGCTTCTGTCCCCAGGGCTGGTGCCTTGGGGGGTGCCCTTCCTTAACTGTTGAGACAGTCCCTTATGCTCTTCTAGTCACAAATACTCCATGACAAAAATATTACCGGAAAACGTAGTAGGATTAGAAAATTCTAAGACTAAAGAGGCAAACAGCCTTTTAAAAATGTGACCCAGGGCTTCCCTGGTGGCGCAGTGGTTGAGAGTCTGCCTGCCGATGCAGGGGACGTGGGTTCGTGCCCCGGTCCGGGAAGATCCCACATGCCACGGAGAGGCTGGGCCCGTGAGCCATGGCCACTGAGCCTGCGCGTCCAGAGCCTGTGCTCCACAACAGTGAGAAGCCTGCATACCGCCCCCAAAAAAAAAAAAAAAAAAAAAAAAAAAGTGATACAAGCCAGACACAAAAGGACAACTATTATATGATTCTACTTATACAAGGGCCCTAGAATAGGCCAATTCCCAGAGACAGAAAGCAAAATAGAGGTTACCAGGCCCAGGGATGGGGGAGGGGGAGTTAGTGTTTAATGGGGACAGAGCTTCACTTTTGGGAAGATGAGAAAGTTCTGGAGATGATGGTGGTGATGGCTGCACAACAGCGTGAATGTTCTTAACGCCACGGATCAGTACACTTAAAAATAGTTAAAATGGCCAAATCTATGTTATGTGTATTTTACCACAATAAAGAGAAAATAATGCATTGAAGTGTAAACACAAAAAAGTGACCCAGCGCTTCCCCTTCTAGAAATCTAATGGCTGACAGACGTGCCGTGGGCACAAACACGTAAGTCACGGATCCTGGCTGCGTCCGAATTTGTGACAGCAAAGATCCAGAAACAACCAACCCCCATCGACAGGGCAGTGATGAAATGATTGGTGTTACATCCGCCCAATCTCACGCCAGTGTTAAAAAGAACGTGTTAGATCTTCACTCACTTCTGTGGAACAGTTTCCAAATATATCACAAAGAATGAAGAAGACAGGCTCAATGCTGAACAGTATGTATACTAAGTCACCGTTGGTCTTTTTTAAAGTAACACGTGGACACACGTGGAGGATTTCTAGAAGGAGGTCCCAGAAACGGGTAGCAGCGGGTGTCTCAGGGAGGGACCGGGCCCTGGGGAGGGAGGGAGCAAGCTGACATCCACTGTTTACCTCTTTTGTATCTTTTATGTGTTTTCCTTCCCGTGGGCAGGTATTACCTATTCAAGAAACATGCTGTCATAAAAAGATCCTGAGATTCCAGGGAATCTAACCTCCTTTGATCACAGGCAGTGGGTGCCCAGAACAATCCGACCTGGAGGTCATGACCCCTCTAGACAGTCCCCTCTCCCGGACATCAGAGCCCGAAAGAATGGTGGTTTCGGAAATGCTGCAAAAAACACTACACCTGCGGGGTGATGAGCGGCCACCTCCCCCAGCACCCTGTTTGGACAGGATGTTTGCGGGGCCTGAGCAAACACCCCAGGGAATGCTGCAGCTCTGATGTTCTGTACTGCGGGGGGGGGGCGGGGAGGGGGCGGCGGCAGGGTTGTCACCCGCAGGCCCTGGTGGTGCCGGGAGTCCTTTTACAATGACTAGAAGATGGACAAACAAGAAGGATCCTGAGCGTTGCCTTCCTGCCCCGGGACCCCAGACACAACGGCTGAGAGCCAGCAGGAAGCTGCTGGGCTGAGCCCACCTGCTGGGCCCACCCAACCTAGCCCCTTAGAGATGCCTTCATCCATCACCCGGGGCAGGACAGCCCCCAGCAAATGGGCGCGCAGGGCAGCACACCCTGCCCTTTGCAGCACCTCCCCCAGCCTAGTTTCCTCGTAGGGGTGTTGACTGGCTCCCTCCCCCCGCCCAAGTCAGCACCCCGCCCACCTGCTCACCACCCCAGCCCGGCCTGGGAGGCGCTGGGCCACCCTGGCTGACTAGCTGGACCTCTGGCCTGGCCGAGCTGCCTGGTGGGCCCCAACCTGCAGCCACGGCACCTTCCCTCCAGCTCTAGGAAGAGGGTCCTGTCCCCACGACGGTTTTACAGGTGAGCAGGCAACAGCCCGGATCACATGCCCCAGCCAGGGGCAGCCACATGACCAGATATCAAAAATGACTGGAGGACTCCAGTTAATCGAGGCAGTGTGCAAAGACAGCCTGACAACAGAACAGAACAGAGAGGCCAGAAAAGACCTACTCATCTCCCTTGGTTCCTGACTAAGGTAACAGTGCAGTGGGGGAAGACGGTCTTTACCACACCCAGCATGGGGGCAATTGAACATCCACCTGAAAAAAGACTGGGCTCTGACTCCTACTCACACCGTCCAGAGAAACAAATCTAAATGTGATCTAATGCGAAAGGTGAAACAAGTTAAAATGTCTAGACTGTAACACAGGAAAATATCTTCATGACTCTGGGGCAGACAAAGATTTCTTGAAAAGGACACAAAATACAATAACAGAAAAGTAAAGATCAGTAAATTGTATTTCCTTAAACCTCGGAATCTGCGTTCCTCAGAAAAGACAGCATGTGCAAGGTGCTCATCAGGAAACGTCCTCACGAGAGTGGAAAGAAACGTCAGAGAGCGAGACAAGGCACTTGTGATCCAACAAAAGACGCATCCTCAGAATCTATCAAGAACTCCTAGAAATCGGCAAGACAGAGAAACCTGATTTAAAAACGGGCAAAGAACGACAGAATCCCAACAGTAACATGAGAGCGTGTTCAACGTAGTAAGTTATGAGGGAATGAAAATTAAAACCACAGTGAGATCCCACTGCACAGCCATCAGGTTGGCGACAGTGAAAAACAGACCACATCCAGTGTCGGCAAAGACTTCCACTCATGGCTGGCGGGGACGGAAACTGGTGAGGCTTCGGAAAACCGTTTGGCAGCGTCAGCTAAAGCTGCCAAACCCTCCAATACAGCAATTCCACTCCTGGTAAATACCCGACAAATTCACACAGGATGTCCACAGCCCCTGTATTAATCACAGCCCCACACTGGAAACAGACCAAACCTCCAGCCACACTAGGACAGATCAATAAACCATGATTTATTCCTACAATGGAAAAATGAAGAGCAACTTTTTTAAGTGAATTACTGCTACACGCAAAAGTCTGGATGAGTCTCAAACACAGGATCTTGAGCTAAGGAAGTTAAACGCAAGCAAAATCACACCATATGGTTCCCACTACACAAAATAAATTCAAGAATAGGCAGGAGTCACTGATGGTGATAAAAGTCAGCCTCGTGGTTTCCGTGAGGGGTGGGGGGCAGTGGGGGGAGGGAGAGTAGAATTGGCTGAGAAGGGACACCAGGAAAATTCTGGAGTGCTTGAGATGTTTTGTATCTTGACTTGAGTGGAGCTGCCTGGAACCCACTGAGCTATTTTAGGAAGAAGCGTGTGCTTTACATACATAATACTTTATAAAACTACATAATCAGATATAAAAAAAAATTTAAGGGAGGACTGTTATATTAATCTAGATTGAAAGATATTCAAGAGTATCTATAGTATACTTTAATAAATACTTTCCAATAGAAGGAAATTCAAGAGAAAAAACAACCAAATAGGAACCAAAAAAGATCTCACCACCCCTGATAAAATATTACTTTACTAAACGGGCTATACGTTACACTTTGCGGGCAAGTGGAGAATACAAACATGGCACAAGGGAACTGGCAACTGTGGCAGGTGTAGGATCACAGTATGCAGTAATACAGGAGATGTCTTTATTTCTCCGTTGCGACACACCGTGTCAAGGCTGAAATGTTTCCATCACGCACACGTGCGCACATGCCCGCGCACACGCTGTATCTCAAACCACAGAGAAAGAAGAGCAAGCACTGGACCGTTACGGGGCTGAGACTTCTTCCCTGAGCCCCCTGCCCTTAGAGGGTCTGTCCCAGCTGCCAGGTGGCGGCTGGGGTCCCAGGTGGGACTCTGGGATGCTGGTGCGCTGCGGCTGGTGAAGCCGCAGTTACGAGAGGACTCGACGGCGGGCTTTGCTCATGTGGAGGAGCCCTGAGGCCCCACGGTGCTTGGCTTCAGGCTGGTCCCCGGGAAGCTTTGGGAGGTGGGGTGGTGAGGGTTGGATCACCCATGCACAGGCCCTACCCTCCCTCCATGGCCTCCCAGGGAGCAGGGGGTGTGCGTCTGTCATGGGCATTTTAATAGGCTACGTCTGTTGGTACTTTCACAATCAATGAGAAAAGCCGCTTGTACACAAACAGGCTGCCCTGATGCGGAGCAGCGCCAAGACTTGCGACAAGCTCAGCTCTGTTCAAGAGGACTATGCGGCCCTGGCATCTGGGTTAGAGGATGCACCCCAGAAAGAGTCACCGGCCACATGGAACCCGCAGGCAAATGCTGAAAAACTGAATGGGACCAGCCTCATTTTCTTAGAAAATAACTTCCCCAGCACAAGGACAGAATAAAGAGATTCAAGTACTTAGACACAGGAGTGGACAGCTCACATCCTAAGAATGAACGAGTCACCGGGAGATCAGTCTAGAATCACACCATTGCAAGCATCCTTCTACCACAGAGCGTGTGACCGAGGCTGGATGCCCATCAGGCGGGCCTTCACCTAAAAGGAGAGCTGTCCCTCCCTCCGCCAGGCTCACTCCGCCGCCAGTCATGTCCACCCCCTGCTGTGCTCCCCAGGCCTCCGCAGACCCCCAGCCCCACCCAGCACAGCCTTCCAATGTAACTCACACTTCACACAAACCAAACGTGTGGACTTCCAGAACTTCACCAAGACACTTGGGACGCATTCTGTTCCTCCTCAAAAAGAACTGCGAATTTCCTCCCTTTCATTATTAGTTGAAGAAACCGCGGCCACCCCCGACTATGCTACGGCTCAAACCAGAGTCTGATGGCATTTCGCTTCTTGGGATAGCGCTTTGTTTCATACGTGAATCTTGTAAATGACTTAATTCTATTTAACTGTTCTTTCCAGATAGTTTAATTTAATTACCAGTGCATCGTACATGCACACAGTTTAATAAGAGATGATGTTTAACGTTAAGGCAATTTTGGTTTTCCCGGGCCAGTATTTACTATAAGAGAAATGTAAACATAACCTTATTTCCCACCTTAATGAAAGTGATTGGTTAAAAAAATACAAAAGTTGAAAATATCACATAAAAAACTGGACATCGGGCTTCCCTGGTGGCACAGTGGTTGAGAGTCCTCCTGCCAATGCAGGGGACGTGGGTTCGTGCCCCGGTCTGGGAGGATCCCACACGCCGCGGAGCGGCTGGGCCCATGAGCCATGGCCGCTGAGCCTGCGCGTCCGGTACCTGTGCTCCGCAACGGAAGAGGCCACAACAGTGAGAGGCCCACGTACCGCAAAAAAAAAAAAAAAAAAGAAACTGGACGTGTTTTTTTTCTCCTCTTAGAGGCAAACAGGAAGCAGGTCACCAGTGTGGCTTCCTGTGAAGCCCCAGGTGGTATCACTGGGCCGGGCGGTGGCAACATGGAAATCCTGCCTGGGGAACAGGCAGTGGGCTCACTGGGGTCAGGCATCAGATGAGGCGGGGGGTTGGGTGGGAGGGCTGTACTGGCCAGGGGTCTGGGGGCGGCAAGTCTGTGACCTCAGGCTCCTAGCGTTCCCAAGTGGGATGCCATGCGGCCAGGTTGGGGCTCTTCTAGCCCAACTTCCCAGGGACCCCACGCAGCAACTTTCCATTTCTCTTAAGCCACATACCTGGGCCACAGCCCCAACTAGACCTTGACCAGACCTCTTCCCCTCCCCACCCCAAATATCTCCATCCTTTGTCCCACTCCCCCTGCAGCCTGCAGAGTGGCTGGTGAATATTCAAAGTGAAGCAATGAGCCCCAATCAAGGGGCCCAGGAGACCCCCCCACACTGAAGACCCTAAACTGGGTGTAGGTGGAAGCAGAGCTAGGAAGCCAGAACCTGCTCTGCTTCCCACTGGCTGAGCCATCTCGGGCAACACCCTCGGCCTCTCTGTTCCTGCATCCGGGCTTCAGGGGCCATGCAATGGCAGACAAGGAATAGCGAGACCTTCCCAGGTGATCACCCACCACCCCCCCGCTGCCCACCTGCCAAGTGAGGCCAACCCAGGGGGGGAAAAACAGAAGCCTGGCCGATCATTTTCCGCCTCCGGCCCGGACCTCTTCCTAAGGCACCTCCCCTCCCCTGGGGGTCAGCGAGTGGCTCCGACACTTCCAGGATGGGACTGACCATAAGCCACCCATCTCAGGAAGCACGCTGCCGCACCTGGGCCTGGGAGGTGGAGTCCTGTAGATCCCGGTGCCTCCGCAGCCACCAAACCTGCCGTCCCAGATTCACCTTCCACCCCGCCCACTGCTGATGGAGCCTGGCGCCCACTCAGGCATGGCCACCTCTATGTAAGGCCACAGCTCCCCTCCAGGCCTGGGGAGACAGCTCCCACTGCTGCTGTGCCCTCACCCTGCAGTCCCCTCTGTGACTCTCTCCAGGGGCTTTCAGCCTGTGCCACCTGTTTCCTGGGCTTCGACTCTGCTGGGCAGGGAGGTCTGGGGGGGGGAGCACACTGGCCTGGGAGTCGGAACTTCGGGGACCCCACCCTCGGAGCTCGCTGTGAGTCTCTGCCAACCCCCTGCCTGCCTCTGGGCCTCTGCGACCCAGACGTATAACGAGAAGCAGCTGGCGCTCCGTTGAGTCTAAACTGGCAGCAAACCAGTGCCCACTTCATGCTTTACTGAGGCTTTGATATACGTGAATTAGTTGCCAACATTTACAAACGGGGAGATTTTATATAAAATTCCAGATCCTAGGCTTCTTTCGAAAAACTTAAAGTGATGGGCCACGCTGGGCCCCCAACTCCAGGGCGACAACTGGAGCCAGGGAGCGGCTGCAGCTGCATCCTCATCCCCACGACCAGCGGCTCCCCTCCACCAACTGCCTCACCGGGGGCACCTGGCTTTGCTCCCTCATCGCGTCCGTCCCAGGCCTGCGCGTCACAGCAGGCACCCCCACCCCGGGCAGGAGTGTGCTGGGCGGGGAGGTCTCCACCCTTCTGGTGCCCACTGCATTCCCAGCACCCGATACAGTCTGGCCCAGAGCACGGGGCCCATGAACTGTCATGAATGAGAACTCAAGTGGGGCAGGGAGTGGGGGTCTGGAAGGGAGACAAGACAGCTTGTCTCCTTCTCGCCCCGCCCACCCCGTCAGCTTCTGGGAGCACTGGGCCCAGGCAGGCAGGCTCCCCCCAGCCAGACTGGCTCGTTCTGCTCCCCCTTCCCTCCACCATATGGACCCCAGAGAACCCCAGAATCTCAGCCTCTGGGGCTGGGGGCCTGCCAGCCCTGCCCTGGGCCCTGTTTTGCGCTTCCTGGGCTGGGGACACAGGGCAGCCCTGGAGCCTCGATCTGCTGACAACAGGAAAATACCTACTCGTGCCAGGCAGCTGGGCAAACCCTGGGAGGTGCTGGGGCAAAGGCCGAGAGTCAGTGGTCGACAAACATCTGCTTCGCTGCCCTCAGTTACCTCCCTGTGCCTCAGTCACCTCCGCTCTGAAATGGGCATAATGACCGTCCCCCCGCACATGGGTGTCACGAGGCTTTGACGCACTGATCGATTCACGTCCGGGGATGCCCACAGCCACGTGATAAAAGCCGCCCCTGCGAGAGTGAAGGAGGAGACCCTCCCCATTTCTGGGACGTCAGCCCCGCAGCTAGGCTGTGCAGCTGAAGGCGAGACCTCAGGAGGGGGCTGACTCCGCGGGCAGACGCTGGAACAAAGGCGCAGGGCAGGGACGGAACAGTGGAGGGGCAGCACCCCCTGCACACCTGGAGGCAGACGGAGTGACCGGCGGGGTGGGAGCAGGGGTGGGAGCAGCCAGCGAGCAGTTGAACACCCTCAACCCCACCACATGAGACCTGGCCCCTTTGCCTTTTCAACAGCGGGACAACTCCTGGCCACCAGAAAAGACCCACATCTGTTCACTTAAGCGAAAACAAATCCATGCCCCACCACCCAGAGTGCAGGGCCCTCGGGCAGGCAAAGGAAGGGGCTCACAGTCACAGCAGCTGCTCTGAGCCAGCTGACGTCCTCTCCCTACCCCTGTCAGTAATCCTGGGGGGACAGAGATTACTCTTCCATCTTGCAGACGCTGAGGCTCAGAGAGCGTGAGTCCATCACCTGAGGTCACACAGCCAGGGCAGCAGAGGCAGAGTTCACACCCACGGATTCACCCTCTGAGGACCAAGCTGGTTCATCCCCAGCACTTCTCGGCCCCAAGCCCGCTTTCCCTGTATGGAGACCCCGGAGTACACAAGGAGGGCCCAGCAGAGCCCCAGTCCACGCAAAGCTGACCTCGGCTAGACGGAAGTTCCTCCTAAAAGCTCCATTTGCTGCAGGACAAGGGACCCCGAGGCCACACAGCCCCTGGCCCGGCGCAGACGAGGTGCTGTCAGGCAGACGACGTTGACCCTCCCCCAGGGAAGGTCACAGCCCAGACTTCTGACCTCCAGTTCACGGAGGCACCCGGGATTCCGGAAGGCTCAGGGTGCAGGAGGCTGGGGTGGGGCAGCTTGGCTCAGCCTCGGGAGAGCCGCTCGGCATGTGAATGGGAAGCAAGCCGGAGCTCAGAGGCCGCCGCCCTCCTGGCACAGCCCCCAGGGCTGAAACCTCAGCGACCAGGACACCAGTGTAAAAGGAGCCCTGCTACGCGGCAGACCCCAGCACCTGAGGCCCGACACCAGCTTTCTCCCAGTGAGAACACGCTCTAGGAGGGAGCCCTCGGTAAGCCCACTCTACAGATGAGAAAACTGAGGCCCGGGGCAGTGAAGTGATTTGCCTAAAAGTCTCACAGAGAGTGAGGGGCAGAGCAGCCTCACCCTGGGGGAGCCTTGGACCAGGCCAGAGACGCCTGAAGCACCGAAGGACCTGGATCCAGAGCTGGGCCCACACTTACTCGCTGCTGGCCTGTGGGCCCATGTTCCCCTGGGAAGGGGAAGGGACTCGTGGTAAGGTCGTGTGGGGACTGAGATGAGGCACGAGGAGCACCGGCCGGGGCCGGGGGTAGCTTCACTGTCTGACCCCCCCATCCTCCTCCCTGCCTTTCCCACGTCCCCGGCGATGCCCATCAAGAGGAGCCCTCGGGGCTTCCCTGGTGGCGCAGTGGTTGAGAGTCCGCCTGCCGATGCAGGGGACACGGGTTCGTGCCCCAGTCCAGGAAGATCCCACATGCCGCAGAGCGGCTGGGCCCGTGAGCCATGGCCGCTGAGCCTGCGCGTCCGGAGCCTGTGCTCCGCAACGGGAGGGGCCACGACAGTGAGAGGCCCGCGTACCGCAAAAACAAAAAAAAAAAAAAAAAAGAGGAGCCCTCGACCCCGGGCTGGCCTCCTGACAGGCAGGCAGCCCAACGTGGAGAAAGCAGTGGCTGAGCCAGTTCTAAGCCTGGGCCCAAGAGTTCCTGTGCGCGTCTCATCTTTCACTCTGAGCCCTGTTTCTGCGATGGGAACGAGTTCGTGGAGCAGAGGCAGCCGCCCTGGCAGAGGCTGTCCCAGACCAGCCACTCCCAGCAGCCACTCCCAGCCTGGGGCAGCAAGCCCGGCTGACCTGTGGACTTGGGATCAACAAGAAACGCCTACTGTGCGCCCCAGACGTTCTGCAGTCGCCTGCGACTCGCACTACTGAGGCAAGAGACTATTCGTTCCATGACCGGGGTGTGTCCCCGGCAGGAAGGACAGGAGCGGGTTTGGCGAGAGGGCAGAAAGACCACCCCCCACGCCCACGTGCTGCTGGCGGGGGTGTGGCCAGACTTGCTGGGGAGCCCACAGCCAAGGCGGGGGCAGGGGCGTGGGGGGGAGCAGGGCACACTCACAAACTAACGCCCCTGCAAGACAGCTCCCACCAGCCAAGGTGGGAACATCTGGCTGCCCCTGCTCGGTTTTCTCCCTAGCGCTTCTCACCATGCAACACAGATTTTACGTAATGAATGACTGTGTGCCCCCTGCCCCTGCCCCGATCCCACGGAACACAAGCCTCGTGAGGGGTACCAACTTCAACCATTTTGATCACGGCTGTATCCCTGGCACCTACAGCTGTGCGGTAGGCACTCAATAAATATTTGTTGAATAAATAACCTGGGGAAACAGGCATTCCCATACACGGCAGGTGTGAGCAAAATCTGGTACACCATCGATGGAGGTGAGCTGGCAAGTACCGCGTTTTAAGTAGGCATCCTGTGGCCTCTGCAGTGGAGCCCATGGCAGCCAGCACCTCCCCAGAGAAAAGTGGGCAGACGACCATCAAAAGACTGGTACGGCAGGTGCATGGCAACGCTCTTCCTAACGGTCCAGGCTGGAAACAACCCCACAGCCCTTGGCAGGAGAAGGAGCCACCAAACTGGGGTCTGACCATACCATGGGGCAGCTCTCAGCCACGAAGAGGACCAACCACGGAGCCCAGAGCATGTGGACCTAGAAATGCTGTGCTGAGCACAAGAAGCCACACACGAGAGCAGACTGCATGGCCCCATTTACGAAAGTCCGAGAGCCAGTCACAGTCAGGGAAGCGGTTCTCGGGACGGGCACGGAGGAGGGGACCTGGGTTGTCTCGGGATGTTTCACGATCTGAGTGCCGAGCACACGGGGTGTTCCTTTGTGAAATGTATTACTGATTTGCATGCTTCTAATAGGTTCTCCTGGTTACACTTGCATAAATGGCTTACAGAGAGAAAATAAAGGAACGCATGTGCACACAGACCCAGAGATTCCACACCAGGTGCAGCAGGAAGCCATTCACTGCCAGCAATGGACACAACGCAGCATCCGTCTGCCAGGACAGTCAGTAACAGCTGGGACGTGCACACAGCGGAGCCCTGGCTGGTAAAGGGAGCTCCCCACGTGCCGACAGCGGGAGTCCCAAGGGGGGCTGTTCACGGAGGAAAGCACAGGACAGAAAGGTGTGCACAATATGCTATATGTGAGAAAAACAGTGCACACACCTGCACGCTTGCCGTCGTAGGACCTGTGGTTCCCAAGTGTGGTCCTATAGGCCCTGAGGGTCCCTGGGACCTAATCGAGGACCCACGGGATCAACATTATTTTCAGAACAACACTGCAACACTGGTTGCCTCCTTCACACCCTTTCTCCTATGAGCATACAGTGGAGTCTTCCACACACTATGTGACTTAGTAATGATGTCATCACTTCGATGGCCAATGGAATGCGTACTTGTGTATTCTCTGTTTTCTAGAATTTTCTAAAGTAAACTCGTGAAAAGATGCTCAACATCATTAGCCGCCAGGGAAGTGCAAATTAAACCTTCAGTGAGATACCACTTCACACTTCACACGCTAGGACGGCTACATTCAAAACGACAGACGATGACAAGTGTTGGTGAAGACGTAGGGAAGCTGGAGCCCTTGTGCGCCGTGGCTGGGGATGTAACATGGTGCAGCCGCTGAGGATGACAGTTCGGTGTTTCATCTTATGGTCACACACAGAGTTCCCAGATGACCCAGCAATTCTGCTCCTGGGTACGTTCCCAAAAGAAATGAAAACATACGTCCACACAAAAGTATGTCATGAATATTAACAGCAGCAGTGCTCGCAATAGCTAAAAGGTGCAAACACAGTGTCTGCCACCTGGTAAATGAATAAACAAAATGGGGCCCATCCACACACTGGAACGTCCGCCATGGAAAGGAATGAAGCACTTATTCGTGCTGCAACGTGCAGGGGGCTTTGAAAGCGTTACGCTTGGCGACGGAGGACCGTCCACAAAGGCCACATATTGTACGATTCCATGTCCAGGAATGTCCAGAAAACGCAAATCCATAGTGACAGGGAGTAGACTGGAGGCTGCTGGGGGCTGGGAGGAGGGAGTGGGAGGTGGCTGCTACCGGCATAGCAGTAGGGTGACAAGAATGACCTAGAATTAGATTCTGACGATGTTCTCACGACCCTGACAAAAACTACTGAACTGCACACTTTAAATGGGAGGGCTTTATGGTACATGAACAATAACTCAATAAAGCTGTCTAGGAAGGAAGGAAGGAAACACAGTTTTTAAAAATTAAAGAACCCCACCACAGGCCGAGCCTTGGCCCCAGACCCTCTCTATGGGGAGCAGCTGTGAAATGCAGCCGTAAGCTCTGGGGCAGCCAAAGCCAGGGGGCCCAGCTACAAGCCACTCAGACCCCCTCCTGCCCCACGCCCTCCATGGGAGCCACGAGCCCAGCCCCTCCCCTGGGAGCCTAGGGCCCCCTGCCCAGCTCTACTATGACCCCAGAAAAGCCTCCTCCCCTCTCAGGGTGCCATTTTCTCTTCCATAAAGCAGACCAAACAGTCTCTCTCAAGGTCGCCTCAGGGTGAAACTCAGCGCCTGACAGATGCCCCCAGCAGGGGACCCCGCTCTCCTCGGTTTTATCACCTTTAGAGCCCCCCCACCTCCCCGCAAGTCTGACAGTCAGGCAGCCCCTTCTCAGCTCCCCCAGTGTATGGCCCAGGGTACAGGGGCCTGGTGTGCCCGCAGCTGCCGATTTTCAACAAAAGCCAGAAAGCTGGAATTTATGGGAAGTCTTCCAGCTTCTAAATGTTTGCAACAAAATTCTAGTGCTTACAAAGATGCTCTGCAGAAAGAAGCTGACCGGTGACAGGGGCGTGCACCATTAGCAGAGCAGCAGACAGAGGTGGGACCAACCCCGGCTACGCGGGGTCGGTGAGGAAACCGGGGCTCAGAGGCATCGCGGCCCAGGCCCCAGGTCACACAACGAGCGCGTGTGAGCTTCGGCCCGGGACTCACCACGGGTGAGCAGGGGCTGCGGGAAGCCCAGGCCCCTCGTTTGTGGGCCCTGCTGCCCTCGGCAGAGCCTACGCTGCCCTGGAAGAGTCAGACATCCCAGGTCAAGGCCCGTGGGCTGGGGGTGAGGAGGGGAAGGGCCGGCTGGCCCACCTGCAAGCTCTCCTCGCAGGGCGCCCCCTCCCCAGGCCGCTTTGGGAGCCAGGAGCTCCTGTGGCTGATTCTGGCACACAGAACATGAGCTCAGGTGTCCAGACTCCCAGCCTGGCTCCCTCTGGTCCCAAGGCTGTGCTCAGGGACCACTCAGACCCCACACAAGCTTAAGTCTCCCACAGCTGAGCCTGGAGAGGAGAGGGGAGGGTCTGTAGGAATCCTCTGGGGAATAGGGCGAGGCTGGGCGGGTCTCCCTCTGCCCCCTGGAACCACAACCCAGTGATTCTGGGGGACCCTGGAGACCCCCAGACACTGAAGGCCCAGGGCTGGCTCCTGGGGCTGCAGGGTGAGGCGGGGAGAGCCTGCTCCTGTGCTCTCCTCCCTTCACCCAGAGGAAGTGCTGCATGACACAAATAAGATCCTGCCAGTTCCTGCCTAACACCTGCAGTGGCTCCCCACTGCCCTTGGGGAAGGGCCCAGATCTTCATCCTGAGGGTAAACACCATCGCCCTGGGCCTGGCCCCTGACCACTCCCCAGCCTCTTCTCACACCAGCTACACAGCCTCCTTTCAATCCAACTTCTTCCCTCCAGCTGCAGGGCCTTTGCACGTGCTATGCCCTCTGCCTGACGCACTCTCTTCTCTCTGCTCCCCACCTCTCACCCAGTCAGCAGCTCCTTGTGCTCAAACAGCACTTCCCCGGAAGACCTCCCTGATCCCCAGGGGAGTCCGATCCCCCAGACAGGCTCACAGAGCACAACCACCCCATTCCTCGGTCCTCGTCCTATGACTACCATGTTTTCTTCCCCACTAAACCATAATGTCCCGAGGGCAGGGGCAACACGGTCCATCTGGCGTCTGTCACAGCCCCTGCACACGCCGGGCACCAGACATGACTATCAGGGGTGAAGACATGAAGAAACGGCAGGGGCACCTGGATCCACCACTTCCTGCATGTGTGTCCGTGGGCAAGTGGCCCTATTCCTCTGCTGTGCACCAAGGGGGCGGCTGTGGTGATTAAAGGAGCCAGTGATCTCAGAGGGCTTACGATGGTGCAGGCACAGGTCATAAGCCAATATGGTGTCTGCAATTAATATACAGTTATTTGAATTTTAAAGCTTCTCTATTAACTGGAACGTCAAACCGTTCAAGTACCGCTGCCCCACGGGATCCGGTGATGTGAGGCCCCGAGGAAGGGGCTCCTTTCCTGCCACGGGGTCCTGGGGCCTGCAGGTTTTGCTGGAGCCCTTTTCCAGGAGAGGGGCTGGAACCTGCATCTTCTGAGGGCGACCCTGACCCAGGTTCCCACCCTTGTGGCCCAGGAGGGCGGGGGGTGGTCCCCAGCTCCCTCCATCGTGCCAGCCCTGTGGTAGAAGGCGCCCTCACAAGCCCCCTGAGGGACGACAGACGTCAGAGCCCTTCTCCCCGGCAGGGAGCCGGGCATGTGGCTTCCATTAGGCTCCATCTGGACATGCTCAGAGGCAGCCTGGATCCCTGGCACAGCTCCGGCTCAAAGACAGGACCCCCGCTGCAGCCAGGCCTGGGGCAATGGCTGGAAACCTCCTCCTCCACGCCCCAGGGCTGCCATGGCAACATGGCCGGGGGTCATTTCCGCCCCACGGTGCGCCTCTCAGCCGGCCCCACGGGCAAGCAGGACAAAGCTACCACCTCCCCAGTCCTCCCCACTGAGGGCCCCTTCATCCCTTGGGAACGCCCAGGGCTCCCCCTACAACAGCAGTCAGAAGGCTCTAAGGCCCTCACTGCCCCAAGGACGCTCGTCGGGTCCCTGACCCCCACCCAGCAGGCATCCCCTGGCCACCCTCCCCACTCCGTGTGCATGGTTGTGACCACGGACAATCTGTGTGGGCTCATCCATTACCGCCCTCCACCCCCATCAGACCCCAAAGGGGAGAGGCTGTGCCCACCCGGTTCACTGGACGGCCCCTGGTGCAGAGAGGGTGCTCTGCACCTATCTGCTGCAGAAACTAAGTGGGTGGATCGAGGAACAGATGGTGAATAGTGACGGCTAACATTTCTAATTACTCAGCAGTGCTAGGCCCCATGCCGAGTTTGAATGAGTTAGCTCATTTAATCCTCAAAACACCCCCAGGAAGCAGGGCCTTCTCTGCCGCTTCCAGATGGAGAAAATGAGGCACAAGGCGGAGAGCCGCTCGCCTGAATTACAGAGCACATGCGCTGGTGGGTGTCAGGTGGACACTGGGTGAGCAGAAGCAGGGAAGATGGACGGGGGTGGTGGACGGCAGCCAGCCTCTGCTTACATGGCCTGGGCCAACTCCTGGGTCCCATTTAAATTCACCCTGCCGGCCCACCTCTCCCAACTTCCTACATCTCCCTTTCCCCGAGCTCCAAGAAGCACAGCCTGTCCCTGCCCTGCTCTGGGCTTTGCATGGGCGGGGCCTCTGATGGGATGAGAGGCACTCAGTCAGGGGCCCCACCCCCAGGCGGCCTTCACCAACAGCCACACCCCAAAATCCATTTGAGAAACCCTGGGGCAGAGGAAAGAACCCGGGGCTCCTGAGAACGAAGCATCTCTCCAGGGTTCCAAGGCCCACACCACAGAGAGGCCTCTGGTAGCAAGGGGGCGGGTGATGGGGCCGGGGCCGGGGCGTGTCTATTTTGGAAACCCTGGAGGCTGCACGCACCATCCCCGGCGCCAGGCCTGCATGCCCGCCCGGGCACACGTGGACTTCATTACAGCCCCGCCCCCCCCCGCCCCGCCCCCTGCAGGCTCGGGGGCTGGGCGGGGAGGAGCCCCCGGAAGCCCCCCGCCCTGGTCCCCGCCGCCACCTCTCACCGGGTCAGCTGAAAATGAGAAGGAGCCCAGCTCCCAGCTTGTGGGCGGATCGAGTCACAGACGGGGCCGGGCACCTAGTAGGTGCTCAGCAAGGGCGACTTCTGTGCCCGTCCACCGAGAGCAGGATGGAAGGAGCCGCCGGGGCGGGGACCTGGGGGCTGGGGGAGCCTGCATTCTCGGCCTTAGCACACAGCGGTCGCCCAGCAAGGGCCATAGCTCTGGACACACGGGCCCCCTCCCCCAGGAAACCATCCCAGATGCCACCCGGGCAGCCCCCACTCACAGCCTATGGACCACACTGGCCAGTTCCTGCCTCCCAGCGGCCCATTAGGGCCTGTCCACAGTTGCTACCTAATAAGGGTCTACAGAGTGAATGACACAGGACTGAACAAGACGTGGACTCGCAGCTGTGGAGAGAGATATCTAGACACCCAGACAACTCCTAGGGCTCCCTCAGAGGTGGGGGCAGGGAGCTGCAGAGTGGGGATGGAGGAAGGGTCATACAAGACACAAAGACCCAGTGAAGGATTCCTGGAAGCGGTGCTGCCTGAGCTCACTGGGAAGAGTGTGAGCAAAGGGGTGGGACACAGGGGGATGACAGTGTAGGGTGCTCATGGGGTGGCAGAGAACTAGCACGAGGGGGGATGACTGGCAAAGGGGTGGCCAGAGAGCCCCCCCATTCCCTCATTAATTCACCCAATGTTTACAGAGCACCAACTGTGTACACAGCAGAGAAGATGGCAGATGGGGTCCCTCCACTCATGGCTCTAACATTCCACCGGCGGAGACAAAATTAAACAAGTAACGATGTGCTACAATGCCAGGTATTACTGGGAGGAATTAAAGCAGTGTAAGAGGAAGGTGGGGTGCTCTTTGACTGGGGTGGTCAGGGCAGGCCTCTCTAGGCAGGTACCTTGAACAGAGAGCAAATGGCAGGAAGAAGCGAACTTCATGGACACCTGGAAGAGCACTTCAGGAAGAGGCAGTGGCAAGTGCAAAGGCCCTGGGGCTGGAAAGTACTGGAAGGGGCCAGGAGGCCCGTGCAGCTAAGCACAGCGGAGGGAGAGGGTTGCTAGGTACTGAGTGTTTATGCTCCCACCTCCAAACTCATGCGTTAAAACCCTAATCCTCAGTGGGATGGTATCTGGAGACGGAGCTTGGGGAGAAAACTAGGTCTTGAGGGTGGAAGCCTCATGATGGGATTAGTGCCCTTCTAAGAAGAGATGCTGGAGAGCTTGCTCCACCTCTGATGTAACCCAGATGAGATGTGGCCTCATCTGCTCTACCAGGAAGCAGGCTCTCATCAGACAACCGATCTTAGACTTCCCGACTCCAGGGCTATGGGAAATAAACGTCTGCTGTTCAGCCACCCAGTCTATGTATTTCTGTTACAACAGCCAAAAGGGACAAGAAAAGGGTGAAGAGAAGGCCCGGGAGGCCCCAGGGTCAGGCTGTGCAGGGCCTGAGGCCCCTGAGAGGACTTCATGAGTAGGTGGGAGCCACAGCAGGTACTGAGCAGAGGAGGGACAGAAACCACTTGTATGTTAGCAGGACCCCTGGCAGGAAGGGGTGACAGACCCAGTACTGGGCTCTTGTAAGGAGCCCCCACAAGAGCCTGCATCCATTCTGCAGCCACCACAGAGGCCAAGAGCCCAGCATCCATGACCAGAGGCTACTGTCAGGGAGGTGTGAGCAGGCAGCTGTATCAGGGTTGTGAGCTCCCACTTCCTGCCAGGGCACCTGTGGACCCCTCTGCAGGGGCCCCCCAGCCCTGATAAGGTACATGTAAGAGGCCTTCGGCCACAGCCCTATCAGGTAGCTAGCACCTACCATGACAGGGACCCCACCCATCCACCCACCATGCTACCCCCAGAAGCTGAGCCAGGAGGAAGCCCCATCTCAGAGCCTCCAGCCCGGAGCTCAGGGGATGGCGCTGGCTGTCCCTGGCCTGGCCCCGCAGACCCAGCTTCCCCTGCTCCAGGCAGCTGTGCACAGACCTGGGCCAGGCTACAGAGCCCCGAGGCTGCCCTTCCCTGGGATGAGTGTCCCTGGAGAAACCAGGAAACAGGCTTACCTTCAGGGTCACCTCTGGGGACAGAATGGACAGAGTTGGGGTCTGTGTCTTCTTCTGGCCGAGAACGGGGCACAACCAGTGGCTGCTTGGGCACTTCCTGGGTGGGTGGGACGCGAGCCGCCTCCTGGTGAGGTGTGGTCAGGATGGCGTGGGTGCTGGGCTCTGCCGGGCGCTCGGGAGCGCTCTGTGTGGCCTGTGATGTGGGGACACTGGCCGTGCTTGACGCTGCAATGGGCCCAGCTCCCTCCTGCCCAGCACTGCGGGGGGTGGCCTGGGCCTCCGGGATGAGGTTCTCTTCGGGCCGTGCCCTGGCCTCTGCCGCCTCCTCTTGGACAGGGAGACCAGGGGCTGGACCTGCTGTGGGCCGTCCATCCAAGCCTCTGGGGCCACCTGCTGCCGGCTGCTCCCTGACTGTCAATTCCTCTCTGTCCTCCTGTCTGTCCTCCGTCACTCTCCTGGCCTTGGCCTGCACGGGGGCTGGGGGACCCAGGGCGGCAGCTGCCGTGGGCCTGGGGAGGGCAGCCGGCCAGCGGGTGGCCTGGATGGCTGAAGGTGGCTGACCCCCAGCTCCCAGAGCAGCCGGGCCCCCAGCGCCCGCCTGGAGCTCGCCCTCCAGGGCCGCCGCGGCCTCCGCCTCGGCCACCTCCTGGTCGTAGCTGTAGGGGTCTTCATAGTGTCGCTCAGGGTCACCCTCCTCGGCGTCAGAGAAGTTTCCAGGGGCGGCATCTCCGTGGCAATCGGGGAGCCGGTAGCAGATGAGCTCGCCGCCGGCGTCGGGACAGTGGCAGGCCCGGCAGGGTGACAGGTGGACCGTGTGGCCGGCGGCGTACTTGCGGCCGGAGTGGACGCAGCCCACCTGGCCGCACTGCGGGCAGCTGTCGGCCGCCACCAAGGCCTCGATGCAGTTGGGCGGCAGCTCCGGGCAGGGCATGAACTGGCAGCTGATCTTGCCACCGCCCGGCGGGCAGGAGCACTCGGTGCTGCCGAAGTCCACGAAGTAGGACTGGCCGGCGGGCACGCGGCCGCGCACGAAGCCACCCTGCAGGCAGTCGTAGTACTGGTAGCCCTCGCAGGCGCAGCCCTGCTGCATGCACGTGGCGCAGCAGGCACCCGGCTCCAGCGCCTCCTCGATGCAGTTCTCCAGCGGGGGGCACTCGACGCCCGTGCAGTCCTGCCCCGGGACCGCCGTGCTGGGGCTTGGGCCCAGGGCCAGGGCCACGGCCACGGCCAGCCAGGCTCCCACGGGCTCCGCGAGTGATGCCATGCCCCGCAGCCGGCCACGCGTCGCCTCCAGATCTACCGTTCTCTCTCACGAGGCCCTGGGGGAATCGGAAAGGACACGGATCAGCACCACGGGGCGGCCACAGGGGGACACGTGTGCACACCTGGCACACACACCGGCACGTGCGCACGGCTGGGCAGCCTCCCCACCTTCACTCACACGCATGCACTCGTCCTCACATCCCTACGCACACGCTCCCACTCGCACCTGCTCAGATGCACAGACAGGCACTGCCGTCGCTCAGGTGTTGACAGAGTTGCCAGCATGGCCCTGCCCAGGGCCGCTGACCCCCACTCTCACCTGCCACCTGACACGCGTCCCCGGGTAGGACCCTCAGCCGACGGTCCCGCACACACTCACACTGTCACATGCATTCTCCAGGCACATGGCTGGCACGCCTGGGGCATCGGGGTCTCACGCCCTCTGTGGCAGGCACGCAGAGGCTGGGTTACAGCCCTCCAGGCACAGTTACATGCGCTGTCTCACCCACAGCCTCACCTATGTGCCGGGACACCACGAGTGGTCTCACACACACAGTCACCAGCGCCCAAACAGTTTCTCTCCCCCCGAAACCCAGCTTGATCCCCAGCCATGCACCCAGAGTCCCGTGGCTGCCAGCCAGAGGGCAAAGCCAAGTGGACACTGGGCAGGAACCAGGCCCTTCCAGGCCTCGGCACACAGCCAAGCCCCCTGCCGTGGCCCTCGGACCCCAGGGCCCAGGAACACCCCCTAACAGATCCCCTTGCACTGCAAGTTATGCTGCAGGGGAGCCTCCTGCCAACCTCCTCAGATGCCTCAGCAAACAATACCACCGTTCCCAGAATTATCCTGGACACCCGCTGTCCCCCGCACGTGTGCACGCGCGCGCGCGCACACACACACACACACACACACACACACACACACACACACACACAC